CGACTCCATCGACACGGCGGCGTGGGACAAGCTGGGGATCTCTGCACCGGGCCCTGTTGCTCAGGTGGAAGGGCAACGATGACACAGGCGGCTGAGGAGGGGGGATCGGTGGGGATAACGATCTCGATCCCCAACCAATATGGCTCCAACCTGGGGTTGGTCTCCTCCCCTCCCATGGCGGCTGTGGGTGCGGATGGTGGTCTGTTCCCGCACGGCCGCTCCCCTTCTTCCTCGCGCCCCCGCCCTGCTGGGTCTCCTGCCTCTGGTGGCCGCGGCTCTACACTTAGCGGCTCGGTGAAGCTCATGAAGAAGACGGTGGTGCGCAAGGTCAGCGCGGAGGCGGTGCGCGCGATGGAGCCGCTGGGGGCGCCTGTCACTCCGAGGCAGTCGGTCATGGCGCTGGCGGCCCCGACAGCGCCTCCAGTGGACCAGCTGCTGCAGGACGCCTCCAAGATGGTGCTGATTTCGAAGGCCAAGCGCACCAAGACGGTGCCAGCGGCGCCGGTGCGCACCAGCTCGCATTCGAAGGGGGCCAAGGGCAATATGCCATCCTTGCAGAGGGCGCAACTCCTCCAAGCCCAGAAGAACATGGAGATCTCAGGTAACCCACCCCCCCGGTTTACAGTTCTAGATGATTTCTCGGACGATCATTTGCATGAGGTGTTAGATGCGAGCGTTGTGGATCCCTCCTGTGTAGGAGGGGTTAGCGAGTTGATTTCGCTGGTGCGCGCTAAGGAGTTAGCGTAGGCCGTGATCGCGGCTGCCGCTGCAGAGCGTGCTAAGCAGAGACCCCGGGTACCCGAGGGAGGGGACGCCGTGGTGATCTCTGTGCCTGAAGAGGGGGGGACAGGCAACAGGGGTTGCTCCCTCTCCCACGACTTGCAAGGGCAAGACGAGGCGAGTGGCTAAAGCGGTCACCTCCAGGGGTGTCCGGCTCCGGAATCGCGTGATCTAGCTGCGAGCTATGATCTGGAATATCCGTGGCTTCGGTCACGTGGGACGGCGTACCCAACTTAAAGAGTACATGCGCAAAGAGGACATAGATATCGTAGGGCTTCAAGAGACGATTAAGGCAAATTTTCGTTTTCATGAACTGCTTGCGATCGATCCCTTGGAGCGCTTCGAGTGGCAGCATGCCCCTGCTGTAGGGCACTCAGGTGGCATGCTGCTGGGCTTGAGCTGAGCCCTATACGAGGTTATTGACTGGGACGTAGGCTCGTTTTATATCACGGCTCATTTCCGTATTCGTGCCTTGCTTCGCAAGTTAGCAATCATACAAGTCTACGGACCGGCCGATCACTCTCGTTCGGCGGAGTTCTTGGCGGAACTCCAGGCCAAAGTCACCATGATGTCCGCGGCCACGCTCCCTGTTTTGGTGGGTGGAGATTTCAACCTTATCCGACCGGGAGCCGACAAGAACAACAACAATATAAACTGGCCTAGGGTGACCATGTTTAACTCCGCCATTGCTGCCATGGCCCTAAGGGAGGTGACCAGGTCAGGCGCGAGGTTCACTTGGACTAATAAACAACTCGATCCGGTGCGCTCAGTGCTAGATAGGGTGTTCATGTCGCGGAGACACGCATAGGCTCTGACCATGTACCGCTCGTCTATTCCTCGGGGGAGGACAGGGTGCGACGCAGCCCGCGCTTCTTCTTCGAAACAGCCTGGTTCGAAGTGCCAGGCTTCGAGGAGATTTTCAGGGCGAAATAGCGGGCATGTGTTGATTCGTTAGGACCCCAGAGAGGCCCGATGGAATTTTGGAACGCGGTGGGGGGGCGGCTCAGGGCTAGCCTCAAGGGATGGGGCGCAAACCTAGGGAGGTCTGACAAGGAGCACCGCGCCGAGATCCTTGCGGAAATCACAAGGATTGATGCACTGGCTGATGCTAGGGCCTTCTCAGAGCAGGAATGGGCCCATCGCTATGCCCTGGAGGGCCAGGTAGAAGCGTCCCTGCGCGCAGAGGAAGAATACTGGCGTAGACGAAGTGGTCTGAAGTGGGTTCTGAAGGGCGACGCCAATACTAAGTATTTCCAGGCTTATGCTAACGGGCGTCGTCGGAAATGTTCCATATTAAGGTTGCAATCAGAGCAGGGGCTTCTGTTGCGACAGGAGGACATCTCCCGACACATTTACGAGTTCTACATCAATTTGATGGGCTCGTGCGAGGCCCAGGGGGCGGGGCTCCACGAAGACGTTTGGGAGGATTCACAACGTGTGTTGGACTGTGAAAACGAAGCGCTAGGGCTTGCCTTTCTGCCAGAAGAGATCGACGCCGCTCTCCTCGGTATGAAAGTGGACACGGCGCCGGGACCAGACGATTGGCCGGTGGCGATGTTCAAGCGCTTCTGGCCTTTTCTTAGGGGCCCCATTTTCGAGATCTGCAACGGTTTCATGAGGGGGATGGTTGACATCTCGCGCCTCAACTATGGCGTCTTAACGCTCATCCCGAAGGTCCAAGGGGCAGACAATATTAGACAATTCCGACCGATCGCGCTCATTAACGTGCCTTTTAAAATCTGTGCAAAAGTGTGCGCCAATAGACTAGGTCTGATAGCTCATCGCTCGATTAATCGAAACCAATCTGCTTTCATCCGAGGACGCAACATTTTAGAGGGACCGCTCACCCTGCAAGAGATCGTTCATGAACTAAAGCGCACTAAGGAGGCGGCGGTGCTGCTGAAACTCGATTTCGAGAAGGCATACGACCGTGTGAATTGGGATTTCTTGCGGCAAGTGCTTATCGGAAGAGGCTTTTCCGACGTTTCGGTCCATCATATTTTGCAGTTGGTGTCGGGAGGCCAAACTGCAGTCTCTGTGAACGGAGAAATAGGGCATTTCTTCCGAAACAAACGCGGGCTCAGGCAGGGTGATCCAATCTCACCTCTCATTTTCAACTTCGTGGTGGACGCTCTATCCACAATGCTTCTGAAAGCAGCCGAAGCAGGCCATATCCAAGGGTTGGTAGGCCACCTCATTCCAGGGGGAGTGACGCATCTGCAATATGCAGATGACACGCTACTTTTGTTTCACCCTGACCACCACAGCATTGCGTCGGTCAAAGCGATTCTAATTTGTTTTGAGCTCATGTCAGGACTTAAAATAAATTTTCATAAATGCGAGGTGCTCATGAAGGGGGTTGAGCCAGAGGAAGGTAATCGTATAGCGGATTTACTCAACTGCAAGGTGGGTAAATTCCCGCTGACATACCTAGGCCTTCCAGTTGACATCAAAAGGCCGACGATAGACGATTGGGAACCTCTATGTGCTAAGGTGAGGGGTAGGGTGTGCCCTTGGAGGGGTAAATTCCTCTCAAAAGCGGCCAGACTAGTTCTCACGAACTCAAGCCTCTCTTCCCTGCCTATGTTTGCTATGGGCCTTTTTTTGCTTGCAGAGGGGGTGCACGCAAAGTTTGACACGCCGCGGTCTAAATTCTTTTGGGAAAGAACTAGCCCGAACCGTAAATACCATATGGTCAAATGGGCTTGGGTGTGTCGTCCCAAGGACTTGGGGGGCCTCGGGATCACCAACTCTAGATTGCTTAACATCGCTATGATGTGTAAGTGGATTTGGAAAATTGCCCAGGGGGCGTCCAGACTCTGGGTTGATCTCCTTAAGGCCAAGTACTTCCCCAACGGGAATTTCTTTGAAGGTAGAGCAAGGGGCTCGCCTTTTTGGAATGATCTCCAGACGATCAAGTCGGCCTTTGCCTTGGGGGCTAAGTTCTTGATTGGAGATGGGCGATCGGCGCGATTCTGGACAGATCTTTGGATAGGCGCCCGCCCCCTATGGGAAGAATTCCGCGACCTGTACGACATTGTCGTAGACCCAGGCATGTCGGTGGCTGACGCGCTGCGTACGACCCCTCCGGAGATTCATTTCAAACGCGAACTTCAGGGGACAGAGCAGGCCAGTGTTGTAGCCCTGCGGCAGTTGATTGACCGGGTGGTGCTCTCGGACCAACCGGACACGGTGAGCTGGGCGCTCACCAGCTCTGGGAAGTTCTCGGTCAAGTCTCTATACCGCAAGCTGTGCCAGGGGCCGTCGCAGCTGGTGGTGGCAGGGCTTTGGACCGCGCGGTTGCCACTGAAGATCAAACTATTCCTTTGGCAACTGTTCCGCGATAAGCTTCCCACTTCCCTGAACGTGGCCAAACGGAATGGGCCGGCCAATGGGTTTGTGTGTTGTGCGGGGACCCAGAGGACGCGAACCACGCCTTCTTTCGGTGCCCCTTAGCGCGGTTTGCGTGGAGCGCAGTGCGGTCCGCGGCTGGTGTCCAGTGGGACCCACGCTCAGCTGCAGAGCTTATCCACATTTTAGGTGCGCTGCAAGGCTCAATGAAACGAGTCGTGTGGACCTGTGTCGGAGCTCTTCTATGGTCCTTGTGGCTAACTAGGAATAAACTCGCGATCGAGGGGACCTTGCCAACACATCCGGCTAATATCATCTTCAAATGCAATCTTCTTTTACAGCAGTGGAGTCCGTTGGGGAGGCGCAAGGATGCTGATTTGATCAAGACAGCGTAACAGCGAATTCTGCAAGTGTATGCGGCGGCTAGGGAGCCATGACTACGGTGGTCGACGTAGTCTTTTTTGAGTGCTTGACGAGTCTGCGTGCTCAGTACGGGCGATGCCTTGTAACGCGACAGTAACTTTATCTTCTCCGCTCGATCATGGTAGTGGCCCGATGGGGCTTTTGGGTGATGTAAGACTTATTGGTATGACTCCGCCGTTGGGGCTTTATTAATTTAAAACCGGACGCATCTGGCATCTTCGTTCTAAAAAAAGAAAGCCAAGTTAATACTGTACGAGAAAATAGAACCGGTGGCACAAAACAGACTTTGCTCGTCTGGCAAGCCACCATTTGCCATAAAACCAAGGGCACCCGAGGTGCAGGTCGCCCTCTTTGATTAAACATTCGTCGCCCTGTTTCATCTCCGGACGAGCCATACTTCCCAAGAACACCAGAGGGGAGCCACACGTACGTTGCGACTCGCAACAATGTCACTCCCCGGCGCTCTCACCGCGAGCTCATTCGCCGTCCTCCTCCTCCTCGCCCTCTCCACGTGGCCGACGTGCCACGCCACCCACAACATCACCGCCATCCTCGCGGCGCGCCGGGACATGTCCGAGTTCAGCCGCCTCCTCACGACGACGGGCCTGGCGGACGAAATCAACGAGCGCAACACCATCACGGTCCTCGCGGTCGACGACGCCGACATGGCTCCGCTCAGGGCGCGTCATCTCCCGCGGGAAGCGCTCCGGCACGTGCTCTCCATGCACGTCCTCGTCGACTACTACGACCACGACAAGCTGCACCGCCTCCCGGGCGGCTCCGCGGACGTGTCCACCCTGTTCCAGGCCTCCGGCGACGCGCCCGGCAGCGCCGGCATGGTGGAGATCTCCGAGCGCCGGGGCGGGAGCGTGGCCTTCGTGCCTCAGGACGCCGGCGACGACGCGCGCGCCACCAGCGTGCTCTTCGTCAAGCCCATCCACGAGGAGCCGTACAACATCTCGGTGCTGCAGGTGGGCGCCGTCATGTCGTCCCCGGCCGCCGAGGCGCCCTCGTCGCCCGAGACTTCAACTCCAACCTCAAGGCACAACGCCACCGACGTCGTGCCCAAGACCAAGAAAGGGACCGGGTCAGCGGACGACGCCGCCGACGCGCCTTCGGCGGACGACGGGGACGACGAACGAGAGGACCATGCGAAGAAGAACGGCGCGATCAGCGCGGCTCCCGGCCGGCTATCCTTGGCTCTGGCGTTCCTGCTGGCGATCAAGATCGTCGTGCGCGTTTGAAGGTTGATTGCGGCTGTGTGTTGTGAGTTGCTGTTTGTTGGGTTCCTCGATCTTGTTCCTGCACGTGTCAGTATTACTACTGGGGATATGGTGAGTGCTTTGATTAATTTGCTAGGTCGTTGATGCGTTGGAAACGTTCTTGTAGTTTCATTTTGTTTGCCAAGAGAGCTTTGCAGGCCTGTGTCCTGATTCATCTAGTGTGTCTAGTCCAGACTCCAGATCTGGTGGTGTTATAAACTGGTCTACCCAAATACATTTGCCTAGCTTTAGCTAGCTACAGTACTATTTTCTTTTGGTAAATCTTCTGGTGTACTCTCATGTAGTAATTGCTGCATACGTAGTACATTAATCGGAGTTCTGCGGGCTACAAGTTCATTCGGTTCTATAAATCTGTCGTCTTATTCCTATTGTCTTATATACATGTTTTCTTATTCTCATGAGACATAGAATGATCGAAACAAAATTGATGGTCAAACTTGTACTCTGAATTTCCATATAAATGTCGAAAATAACAACTTTTAGAGGAACAGAGAGAGCAACAAGGCAGGTTGCCATGGCCAACAATCAAGGTGTTCTTTCTTCCTACCAAGTGCCAGCGCTAATACGATCTAGTATGCCTGTAATGCACTAGGAGTTTCCAAAACAACTAGTACGTACGTAAACAAGATGCCTTGTCACTTGAGCACGCACCGCACCGCGGTGTTTGCAACTGAGCCCGGAATCTATCGCTTAGCTAGCTTTGCCGGGATCAGGCCGACAGCCTTTGCCGCTAGCCTCTGCGCCCTCTTTGCCTCTCGAGCATATTTGGGACAGCCGAGCACATGCATGCCTCATGCCCGCGACTGCAAGAGTGGAGTACGATCCGTCCCACCCCGACGTGATCGTCCCGAGCCACGTGGTACTGCTTACACGCATCCATGCATGCATGCACCGTCGATCTGGCAAATCCGAGCTCTGAATGAGCAGAGTGACCGTGTCTAGGGTTTAGGCCGGTCATTCTGAGTTCCTAGTAAAACCTCGCATTTCTTCAGGCTGATCTTATCGATGAGGGTCTCTGACGCGAGTTCAGCTAGGTTGCGAAAGATCACCAACATAACAGCTACCTTTACCGCGTGCTTTGTCGGCCGGATCGGCCGATCCAGAGGCATCAAGCAAATCTAACCGGCAAGGCTGCTGCAACCGCATCGCATCGGGTCGGGGGCGGTCTTAATTTGCTTGCATGGCACGCCTCGGATCGATCTCGCGGGAAAAGGCCCGCCTTGCCTTGCCTGCAAGGGCTGCACACCGAGGCCGCTTTGCTGAAAGGAACCTACGCCCGTAGCCGTGTAGGAACAGTAAAGAGAAAGGGCCGGGCGGTGAAAGTGAAACAAAGAGGGTGTCTGCGTGCAGAGGGTGAGCTGGTATGCATGTGTAGGATGCCTGTGCGTACACGGAAAGATCCGACGGACGCACGCCCCGGCTTTAGCTTTGCCTTGCATTTCCATGCCCTCTCCGGCTTTGTAGACTGGTAGTAGTTGAACAGCTGCATTGCATGTGTACCGTGATCGATACTGCGGCTGGGCTTGGGATTGGATGTCTGATGTTCTCGTCCCTCCTCGCAAGCACACCTTACATTGAGCACCAGAGACAAAATCACATGCATGATAAGTACAACCTCTGTGACTGAATATAAGATGTTTTTGCAGTTTCATTTTTTAGTTAACACATGATGATTTTGTTAGGAGAAACTAGATGATGCCCCGCGCGTTGCTGCGGTAACTTTGTTAAAAAATGCATAAATAGTTGCTAAAATGACTAAATCTAATGGAAAAAATATAAGCTTGAACATCAACAAAATAAATTCCCTAAAAATATCATTTCAAAAAAAAATGTGAAGGATTACTAACATACATGTACGATGTGGCAGTGTTACATGCATAGACTAATGCAAAAATAATTGTAATTTCTAAGTACATTTATGTAGCAGATTTTGTATGGCTTAGTGGGAGAGAAGACCTAAATGCATGGCCTTATTGAGGACATTGAGGTGGACGCTTTGCATGGTAATAGAATTTTGATCAACTTTTTAGAAATGTAAGATGTAAGATGAGGCCATTTTGAGACCGTTGGAGGCACAAAAACATGACCCAAACCACAACTCGGCTTACTCCACGCTATGCCCGAGCATGGCAAGTTCTGTTTAGGGAGTGCTTGTTTGGCGCTTATGGCGCCGATTGGCGAAGCAGCGTTTGTGGGTAGCCTATGTAGGCCGCGGCCCAGTATGCTAGCGCTTGCTCGGCCCTACTTTGATTTTTTCCGTTCATCCGCTGCCTCACATAGACAAAACACTGATTGTTGACATGTGAATTTTTAGAGAAAAACACAGGTTTGAATAAATGTTTATGGTTGCAAAGAGTTCATGAATTTAAAAATTGTTGAATTCAGAAAAGATCATGAATTTGGATTTTTTTTGTAAATTTGAAAAATGTTCATCAATTCTGAAAAATACATGAATTTAAATATATCGTGAATATGTTTTCTTTTGTGAATTTCAAAAATTCATGAATTTGAAAATTTATCACAAATTTGAAAAAAAAACTACATGAAATTGAAAACAGCTCATGAATTCAAAAATGTTAATGAATATGTAAAATATTCATCAATTGGAAAAAGTTCATGAATTTGTTAAATGTTTACGAATTTTAAAAATAATCAGAAATTTGATTAATGTTCACAAAATTGAAAAAGAAGTGAATTAAAAAAGGAAAAATGAAAATTGAAGAAAACCAAGTGAAAACTAGCAAAGAACACATAAAAACCGGTTGGGAAACTTCCGAAAACCGGGAGGGAGGTTCTAACACAGAAAGATTGTATGCCCGTTAGATGGGCCAGCCCATTAGGAAGGACCTGGAATGAGGGGTATGTGCCATGTACGATTAAATATGGCGGATTTTCTATTTGACCGAAATCACTATTTGAGAAGTACTCCTTGCAGAGATCATTTCCACCTCGTCGGGTTGTGACAAGTGGTGCATTGCATGTGCGCCACTTGTCGCAACCTGGGAGTTTTCCCATTTTCATAGATCCGTTTATTCAAAACGTTTATCTCTTAAACCGTGCGTCCAAATATCAAACTATTCTCACTGATTACTCGCGTCGAGATCTTTAAAACTATATACCATGTTGATAGGTTTTGATGAATTTTTTTCAGGAAAAATCCGGACAAAAAAACCAAACCGAGAGCACGATTTTTTCCTTTCCAAAAGAGGCATGTCGTGCCTTTCGCGAAAGCACAACCGTGCCTCTCGTGAAAGCAAAAACGTGCCACTAGCGGGAAAAAACAAAAAACACATTTTTTCTGTTTTCCGAGAGGCACAACCACGCATCTCGCGAAAAGCACAACTGTGTCTCTCGCAGAAGCAAAACCGTGCCTCTCGCAGAAAAAACACAAATTTTTTTCCGTTTCCGAGAGGCACAGCCGTGCCTCTCGTGAAAGCACAACCGTTCCTCTCGCAGAAGCAAAATCGTGCCTCTGGCGGAAGGAAAAAAAACAGAAAACGCGTTTTTTTCGTTTCCGAGAGGCACGGCCATGCCTCTCGCCAAAGAAAAAACATGCCTCTCACGAAAGAAAAATAATATAAAACACATTTTTCTTTTCGTTTCCAGGAGGCACGGCCGTGCCTCTCGCGGTAAACCGTGTCACTCATGGAAGCAAAACAGTGCCTTTCGCGAAAGCAAAAAAAATGTTTTTTCGCAGAAAAAAATGTATTTTTTTGTCCAAAAAGCTAAGAAAGACGGGTGGAAAACCAAAAAGTCGAAAAAAACATGAAAAACGCTTAATAAAAAATCTGAAGGAAGCGCGGAGAGCGCGACACGTGCGGCGGTTGAGAGCGTGCCAAGTGGAGGGCTGATACGTCTCCAACGTATCTATAATTTTTTATTGTTCCATGCTATTATATTATCAACCTTGGATGTTTTATATGCATTTATATGCTATTTTATATGATTTTTGGGACTAACCTATTAACCTAGAGCCCAGTGCCAGTTTCTGTTTTTTCCTTATTTTTGAGTTTTACAGAAAAGGAATACCAAACGGAGTCCAATTGACGTGCCAATTTTTGACGATTTTTTATGGACCAAAAGAAGACCGCGGAGTAAAAGAGTTGGTCCAGAAGAGTCCCGGGCCGTCCACGAGGGTGGGGGCGCCTCCCCCCCCCCGGGGGCGCGTGGGCCTACCTCGTGGACGACTCGGGCACCTCCTTGACGTGAGACCGATGCCAAAAATTTCAATAAATACAGAAACCTCCAGAAAATAACCTAGATCAGGAGTTCCGCCGCCAAAAGCCTCCGTAGCCACCAAAAACCAATCTAGACCTGTTCTGGCACCTTGCCGGAGGGGGGGGATCCCTCTCCGGTGGCCATCTTCATCATCCTGGCGCTCTCCATGACGAGGAGGGAGTAGTCCACCCTCGGGGCTGAGGGTATGTACCAGTAGCTATGTGTTTGATCTCTCTCTCTCTGAAAGTGCAACTATCCCTGAATGGTTTTGGTAATTCCTAACAACATATAGCTCATTGAGCTAATGCTATTCCAAGATAAATATTTCAGGAAAGCCCAATGGTTGGCATGACATGGATTAGAAAGTGGACCCTTCAAAATGCTAAGGATAAAAGATTGGCTCAAGCTCAAAGCACAAGACTCAACATTTTCTATTTTAGTGATCCAAGATCACATTGAGTCTATAGGAAAAGCCAATACTATTAAGAAGGGATGCGGTGTTACTTAATGAGGTGCTTGCTCAAAATGCTTAGTGATATGCTCCAAAACCCTCCACTACTTTCTCATATCCACATATGTCCCACACCAAATATCCAACTCGGCCCCACCGATTCTTTCTATCCGGCACCACCGAGTTTACTTGACATAGACATTGCCAGAAACCCTAGTCTTTTCGATCTCACCGATAGGGATCTCGGTCTCATCGAGATGGGATTGTAATCTCTCTGTTTCCCTTCGTAATG